ATGGCATTATAATGAATATCTTTGAATAACTTTTGAAATACATTAATTATAAAGTGAATAAATTATAAGAGATAACAAATTCACCATCTTATTTATGTAATAGATTATGTGAATAAATAATATCAAAATAATATCAATGAAATTAATATTAAAATAACAATGAATTATATTAAATAACTTTGCGATATCCAATTTAACATTTTAAACACCAAAATTTACTATTCATACAACACTTACTTTTATTTAAGCTTTCATTCATTAATTTATAAAAAAATTATAATAATTTTTATAAATAAATAATAATTTTTAAAAAATATTATCATACATGAAATCGTGATTTCGTTCTAATTTTTATTAATTGTATTAGAGTCTCCCATTTTCTCTAATTATCATTGTTAACTTTTCATTTGATTATTATAATTTTAATTGCCCAAAAATTATTTTATAGTTTATTTTCACATTTTACGGATTCTTCATTGAACTTTTCTGTAGATGAATACGAAATATGATTAGATCATCTAATACATTTTGAACAGCTATCGTGTTTATATAATCAGTTTATATAAATAGTGATCGCATACTAATATCAAGTTATCAAAAATAAATATATATATATATATATATATATATATATATATATATATATATAAATATTATATATATAAATATATATATATGAAATTGTAATATAAAAAATTACCGTATAATAATAATAATTTTTTTGCAAATATTCGAAAACTAAAATCGGCAGTTGTATACAAAAAGCATTATTTAAAATTTTTTAAAATTAATAGTTTTTAAAATTTCAACATATTAAATAATCATCGAAATCAAAACCCGCTAACCCGCTTTTTAAATAATTGCCAATAATATTAAAAAAAAAGGCAAAATCGGCAAAAATGAAAATAAATTAAATTATATCATAAATTTTAAGATCGGAATAACGATTTGTAACTTTATAATTTCTATCTACCTTAATTATTTCCCGACACAAACATTTAAATTCCAGAAACGAAAAAAAGAAAGAAAGAAAACAAAATAATTGAATTTTATCATCGAAACGAGTTAAAAAATCGAACAAAAGAACACGATGAAATAATATTACGACAGCCATTTAGTATCGAGTGAAAGGGAATGATGCAGAATGATGGACCAAAATTTATTATCGAATATCTCGCCACGTTCACCGATAACGCAACGTCGTTTTGAGTAGAACGAGCGTAATATGAAGAAGAAACGAGTCTCACGTGTGCATAATATGGGTTAGGTTTCGCGGTACTCGAAAGAAAAGAAGTTGCGCGCCGACTCGATGGTTTCATCCAGAGAAATCTGGGCGGAGTTTCGAGCTACCGAGGTGAAACTGCACCGCCCAGCTTCGTCCCCTGTTCGTCCTTCTGCGTTCACTATTCCCCTCTATGCCATTTCCCACCCTTGCTCGGTGGGATTTCTTTCGCGAGCTACATTTCTAGCGCGCAAACGCGCCCCAGCACATCCACCAATTTCAGATAGATAGATCGACAGAGTCAGCCACTGTTGCAATCGTGTGCCGTTGTATTTACGCCTGTTCTTTTCGACCCAGCTCCCTTTTTGCTTTTCCTCTTTCTCGATGATTGCTACCATCTTTCTTCCGATCCGAGTGAATTCAGTTTCATGATATATATACCGAGTGCTTTTAGGATGTTTGAATGAGCCGGTATGCTTCTGTATTTTGGTAAATATTTGTGGATGAAAGGAGAATAGAAATTTGGCTAAAAGCTAACAGCAGTTGTATTTTTCTTTGATAATTTGGGTCTTTAAGTTGATAGCAAAATTTCGCATATTTACAATCAATACGTAAAATTTTTCAGACTTTTTGTTTTTTTGTATGTATTAATTAATATGATACAGATTTAATATTTTTATACAATGGCTCGCAGAATTGTGTGCTCATTATGCAGAATTATGTTTATTTTCATCAATAAATAACTACTTTTTAAAATAAAAAGTTGCAAATATTTATTATATAAGATTATATTAATATAATTTTAAATTATATAAATATTATATAATATTTATTGTTTACAGTTTTAGTATATAATAAAAAAAAACATTAAATATAGAAAAATATTTCGGAAATCAAATAAAAATTGAAAAAATATTATTGAATATTTAATAAATGTTTATTTATTTTTTTATTATAAAAATAATTCTATTATAATTTAAAACCAACAGTAAAAATATATTACATAATAAATATTTGCGAATTTATGTTTTTAATAATTATAATTATTGAATAAAATAACTATAAAAATAAATAAGTTTAGTAAGTTCATTCCGATATTTTATATTAAAAAAGAAATTATAAATAAAGGATACAATCACGATTTGAAATTTTTTTCATACAAAGAATTTATTTTTATTTTCATCATTCATCCCGTCGCCATTTGAAAATCATGAGGATAAATAAGATCAAACAAGCAATAAGATTCTTGATATTCTTTTGTTCTCCTTTGCGTGTTAAAAGTTATCAATATTCTTTCGGCGAAATCACGATTTGTCCGCTTTTTATATGTATTTCACTCATCGAAACAAAAGATGACTATAATTTTCACGAAGAAATGTCTACATTGACGAGTAAAATGACATGGCATCAACCTACGCATTTTCTGTATCGCAACAATGAAAAGAAAGTAGAGGAAGATTGTTTTGCGTAGACGCTTTACTTGCAAGTATATTTATTCAACAATATATGTTCGTTCATAAAATCATTTCTATAATATATGTTTTAAAAGATTTCAACGTATTTGTGTCTAGATTGTGCTTATGTAATTTATGAACAATTGTTTGCGATAAAAATAAATGGCGGTAGAACTATCGAATTGCAATCAGAAAAATTGAAAATCATAATTCCTTTAAAATTTATATTAAAAATTTTTAAATAAACTCATAAATAATTTAAAAATTTCGAATAATTATTGATAAATTAATTTTAAAAATTGAAAAAATTAAAAATTTAATAATATTATTATCATAATATTTATAAAGAAATTAACAATTCTTTTTATTAATTTTTACTTTTGCTCATTTTTCAGAATTAAATTTAATCTTATTAGAATTAAATTTAAATTTAAATTTAAATATTAATAATAATATTGTCCAATATTATTATTGTCCAATAATATTATTATTGGAATCCAATAAGATAACCTTCAATTAAGTTTGATTACAGCAATTATCATTAAATTAAAATTTATTAACGATTAATTAAAATTTCATTTGTTCTTATATTCAATAATATAATTAATTTATCAAATCTTTTATCTAAATAGATAAATAATTAGTACTTCCTTCTATTTAAATTGTCAATAAAATCTTAACGTGTTTTAAATAATTATAAATATATTCAATTTAAAATATCTTATTAAATTGCAATTATAATCATTTCTGATATTGAGGAATTCGCTAATTGTACAATTTTCCACATAGATGAATATATTTTTTTCATACTCTATAAGATTTAATTTCAATCTTATCTCTTCATAAATAAAAACGGATAAACATAGCAAATATTTTATGGAAAGAATAAACGAAATAATGTTACGCTTAATCAATATGATCAGATTATGATTATTTATGATTGATAATCTGATATGAAGTTAATATATAATTAATGGATAATCTTTATAATTGAAACATTAAACAAGTATCCATTAATATATGAAAGATAATAATTATTTATCTATATTCTTAATTGATATTTCATTATTTTTTATAAGCAGTATAATTCTGGTTATTTAAAAATCAATGTATTTTAATTATTATCATTAGAATTTATTGATTTTAGATAGAAATTTATAGCTATAACGTGTTTTTAATTTGAAAACGTAATATTATCTATGACATTCTATATTGCAATAATTGTAAGTAATATATACATGTACTACATTATATAATAAGCTTCAATATTAATTCCTTTTCTCTTTTTTTTAAACTTCGATACTTTTATCAACATTTATAATAATCACATTTATATGATTGATACGAAATTACATTAAATGCAATTAAAAAAGAAGGGAATTAAATAATAATGAATAGATATAATATGACTATTAAAATAGAATTTTTATAAATTTTTTAAATTTCCATGATAATCTTAAATGAAATATCTTATATAGTTACTTAATTTGATTAAATCTAACTTGATAGCGAAAAATGAAAATAAAGTTAAAATTAAGCGTCAAGTAATTTCTCCAGAGAATGAATTCCACATAAAATGAAATTGGTCCAGGAATATGAGATGAGATATTACAATAAATTTGATTATATAACAGTATTGTTTATTAAATTTGTTATTATTTTATGAAACAGTTTTGGTCGTGTTGATTAAATATTTAATTAATGTTAAATTATTCGTAGAGATTAATTTAAAATAAAATTAAGGTACAAATATAAATTCATGAAATTCCATTAAAATTATAGCATTTATTAAGTAACTATTTCTCTAATCATTTCTTACAATTTTTAATTAAAATCAATTATGAAATGATCACGAGCATTTATAAACGAACAAAATTTGGAATCTTATTTTCAAATAATTTTAATAAAAATTACAAGCAAAAGAAAATACATATTAAAAAATTTCCACTTCCATATTACTTCCACTATTATTTAAAGAAAAGATAAATACACGAAAATAAAAATGCAAAGAAAGCAAATTCAACTTCCATTGAATTTTATATAAATCATAAAATAATAATAAATATGTAAAATAATAATAATAATAAATATTTCTTAATGCAACAATTTATTGAATAAAATTTAGATATAGATTCTAAAATATTTAAATAGAAATTTCACATATTACTATTATTTTAATATTTCTATACAAGTATATAAGTAAAAATATTGCATTCACGTATCGTCATATTTTTCTGATACATATATTTGCTTATATACTTCTTTATTTAATTGCATGGTAAAAAAAAATAATGGATATTTAAAAAAGATTTCTCTTTTTACAGAAAGCACAAGTTCGCATTGCGTAGGATGTGGTGGTCGAATTCATGATCAATGGATTTTGCGAGTGGCACCGAATCTGGAATGGCACGCTGCTTGTTTGAAATGTGCGGAATGTCAGCAATTTTTGGACGAGCACTGTACCTGCTTCGTACGAGATGGAAAAACTTATTGCAAGCGAGATTATGTCAGGTAAAAAATTATTTAATAATCTATTATTAACTTTGCAACGACATATTTAGGTTTGGCATGCCTTACATATTTGTACTATGCATCATTAAAAAAAAAATTTTATATCTAAAGAATTTCGGAATACAATAATGAAAATAAGTATTCTATTGAAATAATGAAAGATCCCAATGTGCCATTATACAATCAATACTAGAATTGTAATGTTTATTTAAATGTATTATATATATATATATATATACACATAAATAATTATAATTATAATAATAATTATAATAATATTCAATTATATTATTATAATATTAATTATATTAATATTTAAAATAATCGAAGATCGAAAGTAACATGTTAAAAAAAAATAACTTAATAAATAGTCAAAATCAACTTTTTCATATTATACAATAAAAAATTGTAATTAAAATATATATCTATATTTTAATAATATCGATAAATATATCTATAGAAAAAAATAATTTTTCTATGTCCGAAAGTAATTTTTCATTAATATTTTAAAATTAAATTATGATTTTACAATTTTTATTTAAATTATTGAAAATTATTTTAAATTATATTTTAAAATTTATAATTCATAATCATTTTTTTTACAAACATGTACTCATCTTTTTTTCTAATCTCTAATCTGATCTTTTTAAATATAATATAACTTTATACATTTTATTAATAAAAATTAGTAATATAAGTTGAAAAGTATTATTGATGACGATAATAATACTAACAGCTTCAATTAAAAATATTACGAATAAGAAATATTCAGTAATCAATATTACTTTTTACCATATGAAAATATAGACATAATACATGCAATGAATTGAATATAAGAATTAGACATATGAAGAAATTTTTAAAAAATAATATATATATCGTCATATAAAATAATCTTTAATTTAGTAAAAAAAACTTAGTATGAACACAGGTATTTCATTTTCACATATTATCTATATTGTTAGTATGATTACTGTAATAATTCCATAAATCTTTTGATTTTCTAAAATTGAAATTGTAAATAATTGATTGTAAATCTTGGAATAATTGTAATAACATTTTCTCCAGTTTTGAATTTTTATTAATATCTTTATTATTACTTTTCATAAAATAAAATAATTTTGATTCAATAATATTAAATAAGCATACAAGATTGTTATAGATATGAAAATTTTTACTATAAATATATATATACTATAAAATATATATACTATAAATATAGGTAATAAAATTTCTATGTTATCAAATATTCCAAAACATTCTCTTTTACCTGTACGAATAAAACGATTTCTATTGCGATAGAAAATACAAAATTGACAACATTCTCGAATGCACGCGATATAGGTAATTCTTCTCAATTTGCAAACGGCGAGATTGAAGAGAAATAAAAATAGAAAAAAAAATGCAACGCGTCGAATGGAAAAAAAAAAAGAAGAAGTACAGAAAATAAAAACTGACAAAACGTTTCTTCGTGGAGTATTTTTATCTAACATATACGGAGCAGCTTCTGCCGTCTGCGTGCGGAGAAATGCATTCGTAACAAAAAGTATGCTTCACACGTGGTTGAATCGAACTTGCGGAATTGAACGCAGAATTCGTCTTTCATTTCACGACGAAATTCTTAACTTGAAGTTACGTTAACAGTATAAACAAGCAAATTTTACTGCTTTCAATATAAAAGAGAAAAATATACAAATGTATCTTTATTCGAATCGTTACGTATTGTTGTGATTTTAATTTCTTTTTCATAATCTATCGTTTATTTCATGAACAATATACTTTTTAGAAGTTGTTAATTATTATATGCAAATTGAGAAGAATTACCTATATCGCGTGCATTCGAGAATGTTGTCAATTTTGTATTTTCTATCGCAATAGAAATCGTTTTATTCGTACAGGTAAAAGAGAATGTTTTGGAATATTTGATAACATAGAAATTTTATTACCTATATTTATAGTATATATATTTTATAGTATATATATATTTATAGTAAAAATTTTCATATCTATAACAATCTTGTATGCTTATTTAATATAATTAATATGAATATGAAGAAAAATAAATAAAGTTAACTATTAAGTAGGTATAATTATATCATATTTGAAGTTAAACAAAAATGCTATGAAATTATTCTGACATATTGATGTGATTATTTTATTTTTCTAAAATATTTTTTTAAAAATTGAAATAGAAAAGAATGAATTATTAAAAGTCAATAATTTTAATTTAAATTTAGAAATTGGTATGAATATCTAGATATAAAAAATATAAACCATATTTTTCGTGATTTAATGATGCAGAAACATAATCTGAAATGAATGAAGTTTTCAAAAATAAAAAAATTATTGATCGATACTATGAGTAAAAGTTAAAAAATTCCGTTTTAAAACTCTTCGATCGATACAATTTCCCCCTGCAAAGTTGTGGCAAATATTTTTGGGTTCGGGGACAGGCAGTTTATTTGCATTGATCCATCGAACATTGAAATGCGTCCGAAACGAAGAAGAAGACTGGCATATCCGGTCGACATGGATTTGCCAGCCCTGAGAGACACCGATGACGTCTGTTTGTTGTTTCTGTCGCCTCGTACGAAAAGTCGAAACAACCGTGGGGTAAAACGTTTCCTTCTGGGTGTTCTTCAATGCTTCCTATTCTTGAATAAATTTGGTTATCGACCAATGGAACAGAACTTAGAATTACGTGATAAAAAAATTTTTTGTAATTATGATTTATTTTGAAATGAAGTAAAAAATTTCTATCGATCATTTTATATTATTTTATTTTTATTTTATTTTATTTTACGGAAGTGATAAAATGTAAACAATTTTAATCGAACTATTGAAATTAAATGGAATAATATTACTAATTTTAATAGTTTTCTTAATTTTCCTGAGCTCTATGATTTATAAAATATTTATAAAATAATTATCTATATATTTTTTATTTATATAATATGGCTATTTTGAATATCAAATTTGTAATACCTGTTATATTATATATAATACAATCAATTATCACTGTTTAATATTTATCTGATTTTATAATTTTCAATATATATTTTGGAAGTATTTTGTGTTTTATAATAATATATATAATTATAATAGAAATATTTGCTCTTAAAATGATTCTATGGATTTTCTCGAGCAAAATGATATAGTTATCGATGAAACTACATTGTTTATAATTAATTACTCGAGTAATAGATAATTAATTGATTGCACTAGAATAGAATTATATATTCCATGAAGCTTTTTATTAATAAAACTCAATAATTCAAGAAGCTCCTAATAAATACAATTAGGGAGCTAATAAATACAATTTAGTTTGAAAGAACTGAACGAAGTACTGCAGGCAATTAGCTTAAAAACCAATAATTAATTATTCGATTCAATATCCAAATGAAATTTCGCGGAAACATATGTTCGAAAATCAATGTAAATTGAAACAATTAATAAATTTAACGGTAAATTTGTCTAAGAAAAGCGATAATTTCTATTTTTATATTTTGTGGAATTTTAGATGTTCGATATGAGTAAGAATAAATTATGTGATTTATTAGAGTTATTATTTGAAATATTAGTTTTTACAATACTATTTGCATTGCAAAAATATTAATAATGATTCACTAAAATTATATTCGAATTATTATCATAGCGTAAAATTATATAAGTGTATTAGTATATTGTGATAAAATAATTATAAACTATAAAACAATAAAATTTATAATTTAAATTTATAATTTAAAATTTAATATCTTAGTATCTTTTATGTAATAGTTGTTATGATAAATATTATTTATTGAAAAACCAATGTTCTAGAATTAAATTTTTATTCGTCAAATCCAATATTCATATAGAAAATAATTTTGCATATAAGAAAATATAAGAATATTTAAAAATGGTTTAAAAACCCAATATTTGCTCAAAATTTTTTATTTATTCCACGATTTATTTTCTACAATTACTTTTCAATAAAAGTTAAATTTCTTAAATTTTTTATTTATACTTTACTTCATACTTTATACTTCAGTTCTGAGACTGAGAACTAATTATTTCTTTTTGTATTAATTTTTTTTTATTAATTCTTATCATAAAAATTGATTTTATATTCATTTTGGATTGAACAAATTAATAATAAATATAGAGCTTCCACTGTTTCACTCTTTTAGATTTTCAATAACTATTATTTTTATAAACAAAAAAAAAGAATTTCTTGTTTGAATAATTGATTTTATTACAAATACTTGCTACAATTTTAATCATTTGTACTTAATTAGATCATAATTATGATCGATACTAAAGATATGAATAAAATGAGAATTGAAATCGTGAAAGAATCGTTAACATATACAGAATTGATTTCAGATTGTTCGGGACAAAATGCGACAAGTGCAGTGAGTGCTTTAGCAAGGATGACTACGTAATGAGGGCAAGGAGCAAGATTTATCACATAAAGTGCTTCCGATGTTCAGCCTGCATGAGACAGTTAGTGCCTGGCGATGAATTTGCCTTGAGACAGGATGGCCTGTTCTGCAGACATGACCACGACGTTCTCGAAGGCGGAAAGCTCTGCTCTGGACCTGGAGGTGTTCCTGGAAGTGAAAACAACAACAATGCATCCCTTATGAATAATAATCATCATCTGCATCCCAACGATGGTTCAATATCAGGTAAAAAAATTTTTATAATTATATAAAAGAAATGGACATAAAAATAATAATAAAAGTATTTACCTATATATTCTCGTGTAATCTATATATATATATATATATATATATAATATAAAATATGTCTGCTTATTATCATTATCTACGAAAAAATGACATTAACAGATTAACTTGACTATTTCCATAAATGACAATTTGATAGAATGACGGCATCCTGACTTTTATCACGTTGGCAAATGACTAACTTATTTGAGGATTACATTGTCTGGACATGGACTATCAAAGTACAAAGAGCAAATTTGCTAAAGGGAGTCCGCTCGAGGGGAAGCTCAAAGGCTGTTCTGATATAATGGTGTTGTATTAGGATCACCAGTCATAATTAGGTGTTGATAATTGAAGCCCTTAAGACCCGAAAGGCTTGACCATTTCCCTTCTACACGTCAGGATTATACAAGATTAGCGTTTCTCGAGCTAGTCCTAATATGTGAGCATACACTGTCTAGTTTGATTGGATTAAATATTTAATAAGATTCGCGAGAGTAGATAATAATTTAATCATATTCTATCATTTATATTGCGTTACCTCGATGAGTTGACAAACATTAAGCGTAACAGAAAACATAATTCTTTGAATATTTGTGACCGGTTAATGTACAAATATCATCGAATTCTACAATCTCTAAGCAAGTAGCAAAATCGTTGAAATATATTGGAAAAAGTTTTGAAAATCACAAGGATCGCATAGAGAATGTCAAAAGTTTGGGTGATATATTATTTATATACGGTCACGTCTACTATTACTAATTCATTATTTACATGGACCGACGATAAATTATATTTGGACGAGTATTCTAATCGATGATAATTGAAAATTGTGTAGTATGGGACACAGAGGGCCAAGCTAAAACGTTCTTTCCTAATTCTCGCGTAAACAATTTGATGGAGGGTCGTCGCGAGCCGCATATTTTCTATGATGTTTGTCACTTGGCTTCCTTGTGGAAATCATTGCGTCTAAATTATCTTTTCTTGATATATAAAACCCATAGGGCTACACATCGGTGACGACAGTGGTTCGACAACTCTTTACAGAGGAGCCAAGGTGTCAAATGTAGCACCTCTCTGCCAACTACTGTGGCACATAACTACGCATGATCTCCTTCATTTCTTCTTTTTATTTATGGACATTTATTCAACTTTTTTTTTCACCTCCGTTCAGAAATCGCTTCCTTTTTACTTATTTAATGGATAGTATGTGTACGAATTCATATATCATATGTATCATTTCTTATATATCATAACGATTTTATTTTTATATCATTTTTGAAAATGATACATGTACAAAATAATATTGTTTTTTATGAAATTATATTTTTATCACTTATATATAAATATAGCTTAGGAAAAAATATTTTATTCGTACTTTAAATGATAACAAATATGCAATGCTGCGGATTATTTCGCTAAGAGAAAATATTGCTTAAATTTTTTTATTTTGGATTATTTTCTCGAAAGAAGAAAAAAATACGTATAAAAAGCAACAAAAAAGAAATTATACATCATAGATTATACATTATAATTATACATATAAAATATCATTTTTAATATTATTTCATATCATAATGTAATGAATTTGATAAAATTTATGAATTTAAAAACGTTAATAAATTAATAAACATAGAAATTTTCTGTGCTATCAAAAACTAGTTCAATTAACCAGTCTCTTTTTTATGAGCAAAAAATCTTTTTTGCTTGAAGGTTTTAAGTAGAAAATTCCTTCATTACGCAAATTATATTACAAACGTTGCCATTATTCTTTAAATCGCATGATTTAAGACCAATAATTAAACAATAAATGACATAAAATGCTTATTAATAATGAACGATTTTATTTTTGCTGACGACATCTTTTAATACTTTCTCGTCCATAAGTTTTCTCAAACAATTTTAACTTTCTTTCTCTTTCTTCTCCTCCTTCTTTTCTCTCTCTTTTTTTTCGAGTGCGGTTCTTCCTTTGTGACCGCTTATTTGGTTAGGACACAAAAATAGGCGCAGAATTTCGTTTGCTCGATTGCCTTTTCGTCTTACCGTCCGCAAACATTCAATTTCGTGCGACTACCAAATCCTTTCGAAGGACACCGCCAAGGAAACTGGATCCTTATCGCGGCACGAGTTACTTATTACTCGTTAATTGGGAGTTAATGAAATTCGACGCTCGTTCCTCGTCCAGCCGTTTACATATGGGTTTCGCTGTTTGGTCGGCTAAAAAGTGTCCAAAAGATTCCCCTTCTTCTTTTTCTTTTTCTTTTTCTTCGTCTTCTTCTTCTTCTTCTTTTCTTCTTTTTTTTATTCTTCTTAGTGGAATCGTTCTTGAGAAGTTCGTTCTGATCGATGCGACTAATAAGGGAGTTGAACCTGAAAACTCGAACATTTCATTTTTATTTTACATCTTTCTTTGGTTTGTAAAGAGATTCGACATAAACATCGGATAATTTCTATTTGTTCATCCGATGATAATGGATGAGATAAAATGTGTAAAACATGGATATGGGGTGTTGATGTGAATTTTCAATGCATAGAACATGTAGTTAAAAGCTAAAAGAAAGCTAAATAAGTATACATTCGAGCGTTATTATTATCGCTTCGATGATATCTCTCTGACATTCCTTCGTTTTTTAAAACAATTTTAGTATCGTATAATGTTATGTAATGCTTTTTCTATGTATGTTATTTCTATATATATAAAGGAATTATTATAGCATCATCAAATCAAGTAATAAAATATAGATATTAATATATTCAAGAAATATTTTCAGGGAGTCAATTTTAAAGGACACAAATATAAAAATTATTATATAAAAATATTGATTAAGGCTTATTTATTAAGTTATAAATAATTTAAATTTGTACATGAAATGAGATGGGAACAGAATGCGACGGCGGATGTGACAAGAACGTGTGAAGGTCTTACTCTATTTCCGTCTCGCTTCATCTAACATTATAACTTAAATTACTTATAACTTAATAAATAAATCTCAATATTTTTTATATCTTTTTTTATCTTTAGAATCGATTCTCTTTATAATTATATTAATATTCTGTATATCTACATATATTTAAATATATCTTTCTTCCGTTTTTTCTAATAAAAAAGAAATATAGCATATTTGGAAATATTTTTTGGAAATTCTAATTTGTTTAAAATACATAAAAAATTATTACAAATTGGAAATAAATAAAATATTACATAATTTAAACATAATAATATTGTAATATAAAACAAATAAAATTACAAATTATAAAGAAATTAATATATATTTCAAACTTTGAATAAGTCTGAAACTTTGATTTAATTAAAAAATAACACAAAATAAAGATTTTATTAAGATGCAAGTAATTTGGAATAGTGATAAAAAACAAATGTTTATTAAAATTATTTTCTCGTGCGATCTAATCAAATATAAAACACAATATTATATTATGAAATTATAATATTATTATAATTATATTATAATATNCTATGATTTCAATGATTGAATATTTGCTAAAAAAGTTTCCAAAATTAACATTTTATTTTTTTGCAGATTAAATTAAAAATATTGAAATTACAAATTTTGTGCAAATATTATTGATTAATTCATTTTTAGGTCATTCATTTTTATTATTTACAATGTTAAAAATTAGAAAATATAATAGTTGTTTAGATATTTCTGTATTCCAAATTACTAACAATATTCTGAATTGTTGCATTTTCAATACATAAGAATATTAAAATTAGAAAATATATAAAGAACACTAAAATTATTCTAATAATAAAATATTCTTATTAGTTCTTTTTTAATTTCTTTTAATTAAGATAAAAAAATCAAGAAATTGTTCAAATTAATATTTCAATATCTTTACAATCTTCTAAATATATTTAAATTCTATAGCAATTATTCTAAATCATAGTAATCTTATCCAAGTGTATTCAAATATAATTTTATGTAAACTTCCGTCGTCCGAATAGCGTCAATACTCTAAACTTTTCTCAATCATGCTCGATCTCGTTGAAACGTTTCCAAAGACCTTCACGATATTCCTTATTGAACCTAGTACCAATCACGGAATCGCCTTCCAAGTTTGCCCATCGACAATATTGTCTCTGGCCTCTCGAATAGTTAGCAGGCATTCGTCTTCACGTTTTCCATCCGCCATGTCGTACCACTATCCGGATCTCCCATTAGTTGGCAAAGAACGTTTCGCAGGACCGGTTAGATAGTCACAGCAGAACTATTCTATTCTACATTCTACTCATTTAATTCCACTGGTCTTTCCCGAGAAGTTGGCTTTTTTCCAAAGCCAATCAGATCGGTAATAATTGCTGAAAGCAAAACAAATCATTTGTGTTTTAACTTCTTCAATTCTTCCTTTTGATTTTCAATTTATGATTTTTAATATGTAATTTAAGAAATAATATAAAGTTTTCGTTAGTTTTTTTGGAATATAAATACATGAACAATATTGAATATATATTTATATGTATAGAGTATTTATATATTTGTAAGATAATTTTGGAGAATTGATTTTAGAAGCAAAAATTTATTCGAAAATAATAGTATAGTATAGTAGAACTTTGATTCCGAATTTTCTTTTATCCAAACGTTATATTATCGAAATGTTCTATTATTCGAACAGTACATTTCATACTGTCCATATATAGTCTGTGCTATGTTTACATTTACTTCTATTATAATTTTTTCTATTGTAATTATCGAAGCTAATTATCAAAACCGAATTTTTTCACAATATTTTAATATAATATTTTGCATTTAGAGTGTTCACAAATTTATATATATTAATAATATCAGAAACAGATAGTGTTAAAACAAAACATAATATTATTAAGATATTATTAAGAAATTGGAAAATAGCGAATATGAAATAAATTTAGCATAAGAATTTGAAAAATCTACAATTAGTGATATAAAAAGTATAAAACGAGCAAAAGAAAATTATATAAAGATTATATAAAATTATATAAAGAATATAATATTAATTTATCAGATATTAATAGTTCTTGAAAAATTTTAAAGCTAGCAAAAAATAATTAAATATTTACCAATTTTCTTCAATAGAGATAAAAATATACATCAGTTTGTTTATATTATTTAAATTAGAATATACAAAATTTAATAATTTAGAAAAATCTGTTTTATTTTTATTCGAATACATTTGTTTAGTTGTTATAATCGAAGTTATACTGTATTTAGTTATACTGTATTACTTTTTTAAATGAAATAAAATGAAGATAAACTACAAAAAATTGAAAATAAATGAAGATAAACTTTCATTTAATATTAATTTGCTTATAATTTAATAAAACTAAATCAATCGATATTTTTCTACAAACTTTTATGTTTCTTTGATTTTTAAAATTAACGTTACAAATAGATATATTAACATTTTATTGTATTGTAATTATTTTAATTAAATTGAACTAAAAATATTTTCTTATTATTTTATAATATTATTTTACAATAGAATCTCAATTGTCGATGTCAAAACATAGTCAAAATAATCAAATAATTACCTATTTTTTTCATTAATATTATTTCTTATAAAATATATTATAGATAATTATAAATATTAAAGCTTTTAATAATTTTCTTCATTATTTATTCTATTCTCATAATCTTACACAATTTTATTGAAAATCATTTAAATACTATTATATCTAAATATTTATTAACAATTTCTTCCGAATTGTAATTTTTCTGTAATTTCTTGTTCTTTCTATTTTATATTACAAATAGTTGATTTACAAATTCAATAATCATTAATTAATTCAATTTTATTTCTCTTTTTTTTAAATTATTCTTTTTTTCTTTTCGAAATGAAATAATACTATGCAGATAATGAAAGCTTTCATCAATTAAAATTAAATTTTTGATAATTAAATTTTCTATTAATTATTCGATTATCGATATTTCAATAATTAATTATTTTATTAATAAAAGTTCTAATAATCAAGACTTTATTGCATTTTTATTATAATCATTTCAATTATTTCTATAATTGGAAATTCAATTTTTATTTATTCTTTTTTTTGAATACAAATACTTTTGTAAATTGTTTTAAGTTAAAATTTAATACATATTAATTATATATTATTTTTACATATAAATATTTTTGATTCAAGATTTCTATACAATAGGCTATTATATTTTTAAATATTTATTTAATGATTTATTCTTACTTTCATTAATCCATTAACAATACTTTTATGAAAAATTATATGTATTCAAGCAATGAAGTATCTAACTAACGTTATCAAAGAAAGCGAAAAGAAAAAAATGGATCGAAATTAAAAGTTTTAAAAAAATGGACGGACAAAAGATATGAATAATCGTGACGTTGCTTTGTTTGCAGACTCCGGATCTGAGAGTGGATCTCACAAAGCTGGTATGGGTAGTACTCGAGGATCGGGCAGCCATAAAAGCGGCGGCGGTTCTGACGGAAAACCAACCAGAGTTCGCACCGTTCTAAATGAGAAACAACTTCATACTTTGAGGACTTGCTATGCCGCGAATCCGCGACCGGATGCGTTGATGAAAGAACAATTAGTCGAGATGACAGGTTTAAGTCCACGAGTAATCAGAGTATGGTTCCAGAACAAACGGTGCAAAGATAAAAAGAAAACGATTGCCATGAAACAACAAATGCAAGAAAAGGTGACTATTCGAATTTTGCTATTTTACTTTCATTATATTTTGTTTCATTTATTTTATCTTTTTTAGCATTATAACTATCAAATTGATAGATTTTTTATCATTCCAATAATTAAATATTTTTGATAAAATTAATGCGAACTTTTATTGAAACAGAAATGTAATTATATTACATTTAAATAAATATAAATATTTATGTACATGTATTCATATCATTAAGTAGATAGATAAATATATTATTTCTAATTATGTATGTATATTTAGGATTTATTATAGGATAGCAAATTATTGAAATTATTATATTTTGAATTGATTTCTGATACAAAACTAAAAAAAAATTATCATTTACATTATATTATTTTCATAAAATTGTCATTTGAACGATACAATTTAACGAACGAAGATACTTTATGTTGCAGGATGGCCGTAAATTAGGCTTTGGTGGAATGCATGGCATTCCTATGGTGGCCAGTAGTCCTGTAAGACACGAGAGTTCTATAGGAATGACGCCATTGGAAGTGCAAGCTTATCAACCACCATGGAAAGCTCTTTCAGATTTCGCTCTGCACACTGATTTAGACAGGCTAGATCCTAACACTCCTTCTTTCCATCATCTGGTATCGCAGGTAATTAATCAAAATTTTCAGTATAATATATATAATGCTAGAAATAATGGATAGGATACTTGATTTGAATACTTTATAATTAGAGAAGAAAAATATTTTAATATTACTATTAAAAATTGTTAATATTATTATTATTAGATATATTTTATATAATATCTTAGATCTTGAGCATACATATAAGTACGGAAAATTTTATAAAAAAAATTTGAATGTGAAATATAAATTTAATTGATAAAATGAAATGACGTAAAAATTTCTGAAAATTATATTTCTTTCTTTCTATTCTTAAAAAAATACGGGTTTCTTTATCTTTCTCATAATTGTTTTAACTTTTTGTACTTCATTTTTGTTTTATAATAGTATACGATGCATATTCCTTAAAGTTAATTAAAACTCTCACTTTTTTTACTAATTTTTCTAACGGCATTTTTTTTTTAATATTCGCTATGTTTTTGTCATTAAATCACAATCAAAGACATAAATATAATATAAAGATAAAAAAAAGATAATATAAAGATAATATAATAAAAAAATAAAGAAAATATAATATAAAGATAAAAATATAATATAAATATTCAAATACATATTAATCTTCTAAAATTATAATATAATATTTTTTAGATAAAATGAAAATAAGAAACTTCTATTCGATTAAAATATTGCAATAAAATAATCACAAAAAAAATTGCAATAAAATAATCACATACAATATTATTGTTAAAAATTAATATTTCATTTTTTTCTTTTTACTTAATAATTGATAAGTAAAACAAGATTGTAAAATTTTATATAATTGTTATGGTTTTTTATAGTTACTAATACATAACTTTTAATTATGCATGCGATTTTAAGCAAATCAAATAAAAAGGAAATTCTTTAAATTAAACAATATTAATGAAAGGTAATAGCTGTTGTATAAGTTCATAATTTTTATTTTACTTGAGTTTTAGTTAACTTAAAGTGAATTAACTTAACTCTCACTACTATATACAAATCAAATTTTAATGTCTGATATTTTTCACTTCATCTCATTTTCCTACCATTTTCTATATATGATTTATAAAAATGATATTAATGTTTAATTTCAGATGCATGGTTATGATCTTCACAGCGGACCACCACAATTACCTCCACCGGGAATGCTCGGTGGACCAATGAATGATGGTGGAGGTGGTGGAGGTGGATCTCTACCACCCCCTGGTCCACATCATCCCAGTGGTGGTGGTCCAGACATGAGTCAACATCCCGACAGCACAGATAGCTATGTAACTTATCTCGAAAGTGACAGTGACTCTCTTCATCATGATACAGGAAGTCCATAGTGTTGTGCAGTGTGGCCAGAACGAAAGTGTCCGCTTTCTTCGTGGTCCATTTTCAATAAGTGCTTAAAGAGAATTGTAGTCTGTGAGAACAAATAGAGTGATTGTAAATGGCTGGAAACGAAACATAAAATTTGGTTGAAAAATTATTTTTGAAAGAAATCTTAACCCTTCGCGCTTAATTTAGTCATTGAAATATTTTATACATGATGATCCGTTATATAATTAGATAGTAAAAAAAAAAAAATAAATAAATAAATAAATAAATCAAAAGAAAGAATAATATTTTTTTATTTAAATTTTCGTTTTTGTTTTCGTAAATTAAATTTTAAATTTAAAATTTTTCAAGTACAAGAGAAATTAAATAATTTTGAATATAAATAAATTATGGATATCCAAAATATGGAAATTACATAAAAATAAGAAAAAAATATAGAATAAAATTTTATGGTTTAAATTTTTGTTTCTGAAAAAACCGAAATTGAAGATCTATAATCAGGAAGTTGTATAATGAATTTTCTTGAAAATTAATTTTTAAATGAAAAAAAATTTTATATTATTTGCTGTATGTTATTATTTTTATATAAAAAATAACTTCCTATTTATAATTTATTTGTATCTAGTTGAAATTAACTAATTTCATTTGTATTTAAAATATTTGATTTGCTTAAAAAAAACTTCTAAATTTTATTTTTCTTTTTCAATTTTCATAAAAAAATTCTTTATTTGATTTATCATGAATAACAGAATATCTCGAGAGGAAATTTTTTCTTTTAAAATGTGAATTATTATGCAATATGTTAAAACATTTTAGACATAGATTAATAACTTTTTTAATAAATTAAATGTGAAAATCATTGATCCATTAAATGAATATTGTATTATTAATCATAACATTTGAATCTGTATTAAAAATTTTTTATATTTTCATAATAATATCTAACTGAAATAAATATATGAATATTGATAAAAATTTATCAATGTATAAATAGAAATTTGAAATTATATAAATATTCTAATATCAAATGAGAATATAATAATTTAATTTAATTTATTTTCAATTAATGAAACAAACAAATCAAAATTCTTGCGCAAAAGGGTTAAGACATTAATGTTTTTGATAAAGATAAATAAATTATAAGTATGATATAATTTGCAAAAACATAAACTTAAAATAACAAAAGTTTAAAAATGATTGAAATTCATTAAAATAATAAAAAAATGAAAATTATTGAATAATCGGAAGAAAAAAAAATATCTAAAAAATTTCGATTATTTTTCAGAACGAATGAATAAAATAAATAATCATTTAATACGTTATTTTACAGATCATAAATTTTGTGCTCGATGTTTTACAATTATTTTTATCGTGAATGAGAGAAATTCGATAATGAATGTAGATCCGTTTGCGAGAAATCTCAGGTAGAATATGTATAATGATTCATGAATAATATCGATAATTGAATTTGTCGAGTTAATAATTGTTCATTTATTGCAAACGATAATGATATTTAAAAAAAACGAAAAAATTATATAAAACAACGCGCTAATATTTTTAAATGAAGTACACCCCTATAAATCGATCCTTTGCCAAACTGAGTAATCGAATAATTGTGACAAATTAAGGACAAATTATGAATTAAGGTTGTAAATTGATTATAGATATATCAAATTAATTTACCACTGTATTAATGTTTCTAAATCACCCTTATGCACTAGAATTGTAAATTGATAAAATTGTGATTATAAATAATTTCAATATGAATATGAAAATTAAATATTACTTATTATTAGATGTGTAGAATTATTTAATTATTTAATAAATTAGAAAGACAATTAATTCGTTTTTTTATTATTTATGAAATGCAATTTCAGTGCATTGTTTATGGGTGAAGGGGTGCAATAAATATAAAAAAATTTTCTTAGGTCAAGATGTTACGTTAACATCGAAAGATATTAATTTCGACATTGGACGAATTAATTTAATGTGATCATAATTCATCAATATTATATCTGAAATTCTGTTCTGCAGCGAGAAATGAAGTAATTGCATTGGAAAATAATAATTCAATTTTTGTATTTGTGGAGTTTTGATGATTTTTTTTTCTAGATTTTATTACAGCCAGTTCAAATGACCGAAGTGTTTTTATTAGAAAAAGACAAGAGAAAGAAAAAACGATAAGAGTCATCGACAGAGTTGAACAGATTTATAAATCTGCATAAATAAAGAATAAAAACTTCAAAAAATGAATACTTATAATGATAAATAAAATATTTATTTTGATTTTTTTCTTTTACAATGCAATCTTTATTTCCTTCGAATTAAAACAGTTAAAAGATATGAAATATTTTTATTTGAAAAATATTGTTTTTAATTACTAATTTTTATTTTAAAATTGTATTATATATATATATTTTAATAATTCTAGTAATTCTAATTATATTTATTAACATTATTATAAAAATTTGAAATTATCACAAATTGTGAAAAAAAACTATAAAATAAATCTAAGAAATTTATTTTGCATGTTTTAAATGCAAAAAACAATTAACATATGAAACACAGTCTGAATGTGATTGAATGCAAATTTTTTTAATTATCTAAATAAGATTTATAAAATGTGTTTATATTTTTCAAAATTATTTTTCGTATATATATACGAAAATGCTTAATGAAAGATTACTATCTGGAAGAATTCGTCTTTATGTAAATATAATATAAAGATGATTAAACTTTAATTTCTTCTCTACTATTTCTTATAATTTTAAAGATAATGTGATTTATTTATCTTAAACTTGATAATTCATTAATTATTATTATATTATTTATCAATTATTTTAACTAATTATTTTCAATTACATCAGATTTCCAATAATAAAATTTAAAATTAATTTTAATACTTATGTCAAAAATATAAATTACTTGTTCTTTTACGTATAAGATAAAAAATAAAAAAAATATCCAACTCTGTTCTTGATTGCATCGTTGTGAATAAGAAAGTGAACGATCATTTCATATTGTAAATATAATTGTGTCCAGTATGAACTTCGAATCACAATGTACCAGACGCAGCTAATTCATAATGAATATACGAATAGCCGAGTCACATATAAAGGATTTAAAAAAGCATAAAAAATACAAATAATATTGATGATAGCACATTATCTCCCGAATTATGTTGGAACAAATCATATTGTAAACACAGGTATGTATATTCAATTAATACCAAAGTGTGCGAAATTTCATGCGAATACAGAAACGCATTGAATTGTAAATATCTTCACTAATCCTTCCCTTCTTCCTGCTTCTACCCTTGTTGTCGCTAATTAGTGGTTCGTTTTAGTGAATGATTTGTTTAAATGTTTGTATACAATCGTTCTACCACTGTTCCTTTTGTAATGTATATTTCAAAAGGGAGAACAACGTAGACCTAACGTTTTCGTAATCTATTCGAATCGTCTTCGAATTTGTATAATATTTCTATACCGGCGCGCACATAATAAATTATCCAATTAAACTACTTGTTTATTAATTTATAACAAAACCCTATTACTAAATATTTTCAATATTTTTTCTCATCTTCGTTTTTTTTTTTTTTATTTATTTTAATTACTTCTTTTCTTGTTTGGTTTACCAGAATTGATTTTAATTGAATAATGAATATTATATAATATATAATAATGATAATCATATTAATCCTTAGCATATCAAAATAGAATGATTCTTTATGTAATATTATCGAATTGTTTTTAAGCTATGCTAGAGTATATAAAATTGCTATAGTTATATAAAATTGGAATAAATAATAAAGTAAACATGTCGAAGTTAATAAAACATATCCTTGCGCATCAGATATATGATTGGTTTATGATTGGTTAATGTTTTTTATTAATAACTCATTAATAAAAGCGAAAATTTTTACAAAGGAAAAAATTGTTTTTAAATCATATTTATTTTCAGAAATTTCTAATTAAGTTTTATAAATTTCTAGAATATATATTTATGATACTCGATATATATTAGATATATACTAGAATATATATATAAATAGATTTATATTGATACATATAATTCAGAATTTTTTAATGTAATTGAATTGCAATTGATTTTTTCCTTTTATTCATTTCTGATCTTAGAATTTCATAAAAATTTCTTGGTACATTGATTAATAAAATAATATGCTAATTTTTTAATATGTATATTAAAAAAATTAATTTATAATTATTAAAATAACATTAATAACTATTAAGTTTCATTTCAACATCAATAATTATAATTTAATTTTATAGTCGAATTTTTAATTAATATTTTTGGTGATATAATAAAAGAATTTCATAATATTCATAATAGAAGAATTTTATAATATTCAATTTTATGATATGCAACACGTTCAAGTTATATAATATATATTTAAATATATAAGTTATATATATTATATTAATATATAAGTTATATAATAAGACCAATAAATATTTTCATTAGAAAAATTTTTTATAATAATTAAATGAAACATAGAATATAGTTCTATATTTTATTTAAACGATTTTGAACTTTTTTTACAATTAAATTTAAAAATATTCAATAAATTTTTTTCAAATTAATTATTCATTACAAATAATATTAATTACTCATATAAATATTAAAATTTTATATTTATTGAAAAAAATATAACATAATATAATTAAATTATATTATTAATTATAAAAAATATTAATAAACAAATATATTTAACATATACATATGTATACATATATAAAACATGTTTTTAAAAATAATATCTATACCGAAATTACATCAAAACAAAATTTAAGAAATAAAATAAAGATTTATAAAAAAAAATATATATCTATTTTATGTTCAAATCAAATAAAATAAAGAATTCAAAAAATTGTCATTGCTATCAAAAAATTTTAAGATATGATAGACAATGACTTTACATACATTGTAAAATATATGATTTAAAAAATATTCTAATAAAAAATAAAAGAAACTAATATATATACATTTTAAGTTTATACCAAGTTATATATTTAACCAGATATATACATAGAAAATCATAATTATATATATATATATATATATAAAACAAATTAGAAAATAGTTAAATAATTAAATCTTAAATTTTATCAATTATTAATAATATTAAGATTTCTAATATTACAAAAAATAAATGCAACAATTGCATTGAAAAGTAAGATACAATTAAAGAATTTAATCGATGATGAAGAAATTGAAATTTATTGAGCAGATAAAAAACAATAAATAAAAAATTACAGCAATAATATTTCTAACTTTAATAATTAACATTCTAGAAAAATTTTGCTTGCTGATTTATATTACATATAAACCACACAAATTTTGTTTTCTGATCTTAAATATTGTCAGAACATTTTCATGAATTAATTAATTGAATCTTACAACAAGAACATACTAAATATATATAAATATTAAATAATGTTTCATATAACTATATATTCAACATGAATTGTGTTTGTATATGTTTGTATATGTATGTGTGTATATATATATATATATATATATATATATATATGTATACGTATATATTATTTAATATTACGTAATCTAACATTAAATAATAAAAACAATCTTGTACATTGATGTAAGAATAAGCGTATAATATGAGTTTATAATTATAGGAATGTATATCGTACGAAAGATGTGGAACAATTATTGTTCTGTCAGTTTTTAATAAGAAAAAATTTTTATGGCATACTTTCCAGACAACTCTTGATATGCTGCCAAGCTTGCAATCCCTGTAATTATTTACAACAATATCAATTTATGTACGAAAGTACAGATATAATGAAATAAATACTAAAAGATAAAATTTTACCTTTCTAGCAAGCTTAAATTGTAAAATACAGTAAGCTGCCAGAATTTCTTTCAAATCTACGACTTTCTGATGTTGAAATCTCTCTATATCCATCATTGCTTTAATAGAGAAAGATCTAGAAATATTATATATATAAAAAAAATATTATATTTTTATAAAAATATTTTATCAAATTTTATATAATTTCAATAATATTAATAATATATGATATATATAATATTATATAATAATATATAATATATTAATAATGTCAATAATATTTTGACAACAATACAATTTCTTTAATAAATTTAATCATATGATATTATTTAGAAAAGAAATAAGCAAAAATTAATAACCAAAGTAATTTTAATTTATTTTGTAAGTTTTAAATGAATTTTTAAATATCAGAAATTAAAATTTAGCATTAAAAAAATTTATTAGAAAGAAAAATATTTTTAAACTAATAAAATTTTATTTTCGCTATAATTATAGAATAAAGTGAATATTTATTTAAAATTATTTAAAATTGCAAAATTTTTATTTTTTTAAATTAGAAACTATTAATCTATATAAAATAAGTATAAATAACAAAATAACACATATAATTAAAAATATAATATAGCAAATATTAAAGTTAAAAAACCAGAAATAGGTAAATTTTTTTATAAATAATAATCTTAAATATATAAATTATTACAACAACAATTATCTACTACAATGATTCATGATCTGATGTTCAATCAAATATTACTATTTAATCTAATGATTTAAAAAAAAAATAAAAAAGAAAATTTTCCTGCATATATCTTATATTCTCTAAAATCTATTCTAATGTAATAAATACATTACAAAAAAATTTCATATTTACATTTTAGTTTAAGATAAAAAATCAATTAAATTGTCAAAATATTACAAGAACTATAGAGTGCAATGCTTTACTTTTATATTTTTCATAATTTCATAATTTTTTATATTCATATACATAAAAAATGTATGTATGTACTATAATTAATTAGGAAATATTTTAATGATCATCTAAATTTATATCATATAATATTTTTTCATTCGTATTTTTCATTTAAGAAAAATATTAATATAAATTTTTATTTTACTTTTCTGTTCAACCAATTTATTTGTTATGTATAATATTTAATCAAAATATATTACTTTAAATCTTCATCTGCTCGTTTAACAGCTTCTTCATGTTGTGCAATCCTTTGTTCTAATTGTAACATTTTTAATTCACGAACTTCTTCTGTATCAACAGATACAAATAATCTTGACATTAAACCTGATTTACCTATAATAATAAAGTATATTACATTACAATAAGTATATTTACATTTAATATTAGCAATACTTTTTATAATTTAAAACCTTGTATGACTTTTTCTTTCTGTTCAAATGCTGCAGTTAGAACATCATGAGTTTCATCTTTGGCTAATTGTAAAGCTTCTCTTCGTTTGATAACAGCTTGTAATGCAGAAGCACCAAACAACCATTCTTTCAATTGATCTGCTATTAATTCCTCTTCTTCAAGAGTTGTATCTATTGTCGCTGCTAATGAATCCAAATAGTGACCCGATTTCTAAGAAAATAGGCTGTAATGCAGTGGGCTTTGCAATATATATGCTTATAATATATCTTAATTATGTCATATTATTTAGAATTTTTTCACAGAATTGATCATTTTAATCTTATTAAGAAAAAATGTTAAAAAATATATATATTAAGTTTTAAATACCTGCAGTCCATCACCCATTTCTCTTTCTATGGCACTCCATTCACTAAATACACGACCATAATTTGCATGTAATTTGTATAAACTATGTTGTTTTTCTACAAGACGCGCACGTACTCGAAGGAGGTTACATAAATTATTCTAAAATAACGAAGAAATAATACGAAGATGTACATTTTAATTATTTGCAAATAATACACATACCTGAAGTTCAATTCCATAATTTTTTATTGCTTCAAATCTTTTATCTGGTTTCCTTAATCGTACTGCTACACTCAGTGCTTTTAATTTTGATTCTACTAATTGCAAATAACCTATTACAAAACATAATAATTATAACAATATATATAAATAGTTTAAGTGATATTTCTATGACAGAATATATAATTTACCAGTCTCTTTAATACTTTCCCTCCATCCATCCTTTTGTTGTAAAAATCCAATAAAATGTTCATCACCTGACAATATAGGATGTGTTGCTACTCTTAATAGAAAATTCTTAGAAACAAATTTATCATAATTGTTAAATATATATTTTAAAATAAATAAATAAATATATATATATCAAATGATATACCTCAAGACCAATTCTTCGTCTATCAACAAAATCTGGATCAAATGTATCAGTGGTAACCTTTTGCCATGCATACAAAACTTTTTTTTCTGGTAATGGAGGCAGTACAATATATGGATAAGAAATTTCTAAATAAGTTCGGAGCAGTTCAAATTCTGTATATCGACGCCAGAGAGAACTTACTTTGGTAAGTGCACCTTTAAAATCTGGATCTGTAACTCTATATGTAATGATATATGTTAATATATTCATGTTAAAATAATTTTTATAAAAAATGAAAATTAAATTCATTTAAAAATATTTTTATTTTTATCATATAAAAAGAATATTGATAGACGAATATTCACTTACTTAGTCTCAATGAGGTAGACTGTATAAAACTCTCTTAAGTTCAATGCTCCATTTGCTCGTTTTTCAGTTTCAACTATTGAGATTTCCATGTGATCAAGCAATGAATCCTAATATATGATATTAATAATAAAAAGTACATTTAAATATTAAAATATAAAAAATACATTTAATACTTGAAATTAATAATTTTATAAATTTAATATTTATTATAATAAATAAATAAATAATTATTAGAAAGTTAATATTAATATTATTTGTAATATTAATATTATTTGTATATTATTATTTTAAGATTACATATTATATATTAATACTAAATTATATTCAATGATAACAATGAATTATAACAATGATTTTGTATTTATTGAATTTGAAAATTAAAAGTAAAAATATTTTCAATTTATATTAAGAGGAAATTATATTAAATTATATTAAATTATATTAAGAGGAAATTACTTGATGATTTATTGAAATGATTTTCAATAATAATATTGAAATTCGACCACTTTTAAGATATTATAGATTTAGAAATTCTTTATAAATGCATATATAATATTATACTGCTAACAACACTTGTGTAATGATGCTCAATTATACAATAATGACCTATTTTGGTAATAAATTAGAAAAAATTTAAATATAATAGAAAAATTAATATTTTCTATTTTAATGATATATCTAATTTTCTTATTTATTTATTTTTTATATGAACGATTGATTTTATATTGATCATATATAAGTGATTGAAATAGAAAAATTTGTACTAGATTTAATATCTTTTGCACAATGCTCTTGAAGATAAAAAAAATTAAATGACAATAAATATATAGGTAATTTATTAAAAATAAGGATATATAATTGTATCAAACAAAAAATGAAAAATTTAAATTGACAATAATAAAACATGAGAATCACTGCGTCCATTTCGATTCTTGTAAAATAAATACATAAATTTTCAATATCATTATTCATCACTTCTTTAACTTAAATAAATATAATTTCATTATTCGTAGAAATAATAATAACTGTAATGCATAGAAAACTGTTTCAATGAACATGCATTTAACATGATCGATGAGCGTCGAGTGATGTATTGATTTGGCGGATGAATTAAAATGCTCAAATAATCAAAGAATTCTTACTTCCTTTTGTGTTTCCATAGTAGTTATATTCGCATTCGTCTCCCTCTGATAATTTCCGTTCTGAAACAGTTCTTCCATGATTCTGTACCGGCCTAAAAATCTACGAAATGACAAAGGAACTTCGAGACTTTTCACATCACGTCCACTTTCTCCATTACTGTCAGTGTCACTTTATTCTAGTGTTGTACATTGTACCAAGTTAAATTCCCTTTGAAATATTTGATAAATTATTCTATCATTAATTTTTTTATATGTTTCATGTTAATTTAATTAACATCTCGGTTTTAATTATTGATTTAATACAAAAAATACATTTAAAATATAATTACATTCTAAAAAATATAATATTTTAAAAGTTCTCGATTATATGCTAGGGAATTTTAAGAAATTATAAACTTTCAAACTGTATAGTTGATTATAAAGGATGGAATACACATTTCTATATTTTTTATATGTTATAAATATTTATGTGCAAAATCATCTTTCAGAAAACGAATATTAATATTTATTATTTTAATACTGATACAATACGTATGCTATATAAAGTTTATTATAAACTATTTTATAGTGTTATAAATATATCTTTTTTGTGTTATTACAGATATCAACATAATTTTCTTTAACATATATTACATGGATTAAATGATATTAAACAATAATTAAATGATAATTATAAAGAATTCAACAATTAAGAAAAAATTTTTAGGAGTGATAAATAATAAAAATGATATTTTTATTTTTTAAAATGAAATTGCACATTAATTATTTATATAGTTGTTATTGACTAATTATTTAATAACATTTTAATAATATCTATTCTATATAATTAATGACTTATATAGTGAAGAATACTTTATTTTATATAAGAGGATATAAAAAAAAGAATTTACATATTTTTGGTAACAGAATATATATATAGCATATTGTATAAATGATTATATCTTAATCCGAAGGATTCATGAAATGTTCAAATTAAATTTCCTTTGAAATAGATATTGATAGATCTCTATAGATAGATACTGTGTATATTATGATAAAAAATGATTTTTTTGGAGTATCGAAAATATGAGATACAATTCATGAGAAAATAGCTTTTTGACTAAATTCATCATTGACTAATTCATCATATTAGTTATCTTTCGCGATGTGTTAATAAAGATTATTAATAAAGATAAATAGACACTATCACAAACTCATACATATAGACAAAATTTTATATAATAATAGTTTTATCTTTTTCTTTAAAATGAACTTTTTCAATTTTTTTCATTTGATTTTTTTTTTTTTTTTTTTAATTAAATTCTTTTAAGTTTAATTTAAAGAGGAGCCAAAAAATAAACTAAAATGAGAAAAGCCACTATAGAGTTATTAAAATATATATACATAAATTCTTTTTTTTATATCCTCAATGTAATATAAATAAATGGATATGAAAAAAAAGATAAAGTATGCACTTTTTGACCAAACAAGCTGAAATTTTAGGAGTGAGAGAAGGAAGAGAGAAAAAAATCTTGAAACTTTAACTTCGAGTTTTTATTAGTTTGGTATAATACATTGAATTCTATAGTGCCCTTGGAAATGTATATGTCAATATAGTATGATCGCTTATCTATTGTTTCTATTGCAACAAATGAAGTTCGAAATATATAACGTTAATAAAACGTTAAAACGATTTATAGATTATGACTATAGATTTAAATTATGGACTTAAAATATTTCAAATCCAATACCGAGCTTGGGTATTTCGCGGATCGGAAAGAAAATAACATAAAATATAAAACAATCCTTGGACTGAAATTACAATGACTGAAATTATAATGAATATTAACATTTTTATTTAATTTATTATAATTGTAATCTATAAGAAATTATTATTATAATCTATAAGAAAGTAGTTTTTTGATTTATTCATTATACATTTTGAATATCACTGTGATATGTTTATAAAAAGAATAGATAATAGCATACTGATGTTAAGATATATATTGCCGAAAGTATGCATATATAGATAGAATTCAATATTTTATTCCAAATTTTTTTATTATTATTTCGGAAACTAATAAAAATCTGAAACTAAAATTTTATATTCAGAACTCTTTCTCCACTTCCTCTCATCTAAATTTCAATCAGAAATATATCTTTTTGGAAAAATGTAGTTTTATGGAGAATGGATTTTAGAAGTCAAAAAAAATTGGTTGAGACTTATTTATTAAATTATAAGTTTATAATCGAATTATATTATAACCGAAGTTAACAAAATGACATACAGATAAAATCATATCGTTCTATCTTCGTTACATGAGCAATGTAAAGCATAAATAAAATAGAGAATTTTCTTTATAGAATGTAACTTATCTTACTTTCAATAGAATCTTATAATAATTACAGATTCAGATAAACTTCTATATACTAAGATATTCAAAATTTTGTTCAATAAATAATTAATAATATTAACGATATATGAGAAAATAATTCTTTTGTATTCTATAAATGTATTCTATACATTTCATTAGCATAATGTTGATAAATCTTTGAAATAGTGTAGGCGGATTCGTTAGAAATTCGCATTTAAAGAAATTTGTAATGATTATCAGAATAACAAAAGTTATTGATAATTATTTAAAATAGAGATATCCTTATGCATGAGCATTTGATAATAGAAATTAAAGCTAGCGTAATAAAATTTCATCAAATCGATCGATTTGATTTTCAACTAGATATCGATTTTTAATTATAATAACATTCAATAATTCATCGATAATTCAATAATTGAATTAATTTTTCTTAACAGTTTTAAAGAAGGTCATATATATGGTAATACTAATTTTCTTATATGTATAGTAATCTCATTATTTAATAATTTGCGAAACATCTCCCGCATCTTTTTTCAACTTGAGTAATATGAATAAACAATCGAATCATCCATTATTTAATTCTATTTTCATTCTCAAATATGAAAATATTTAAAAATATAAAATATATCAAAATAAAGAATTTTATAAATAAAGAATTTTATAAATATAAATTTGCATAAATATCACTAATCCAAAATTCTATATTCTTATTTTACCATAAAATTCTTTAAAAAAAACACAAATACATAATAATATATTAATATTTATCAATTTTATAAATTTACCAATTTTTATAATTTTTATAAATAAAACATCTCAATTGTTGACCTAATCACATTATATCTTTATAAATTTTGACAATTATTATTAAATAAATTATATTTTTATGATGTGCAGCATATTTGTTTTCGATAAACCAATATATATTTAAATTTGTATATTTAAATTTATATAAAATATATTTTATTACAACTTTAGATATAATTCAAAATAGTTTTTCTAAAATAAATATTTTGCTATATAATGCCAGATAAAAATGATTGTATATAACATTTGTAATATTAAAAATATTAGAAATTTATATTATATTATATTATGTATAATATTAATAAAAAATATTAATAAACATCCGAAAGTAAAATTGAAACTACACATAAGTTTCTAAATAAAAAAAAATTATTATAAATCAAATATACTCATGTGCACTATTCGTCAAGCTGAAGGTCTTTACTTTTATTAATAAAATATTTAGAATATTTTTTACATTTAAATTTTTCTATATTTTTTTTTTTTTTAGCAATGTAGCAATGTATAAAAATCTTTTTCTTCCATTTTATATAACATTATCCTCTTATAACGTTGTGTCATTGTCAGATTAACAATTACTATTAAGGAAATTCTATTTAAATTCAATATCATATTTTTGTTAATTAAATTTACAAAAAATTCATTTTTATAAACAGATTTCAATTGTAATATTGTGTATTTGAAAAATTAAAAAAATATTTTTTAATACATTTATATTTAAATGAAAAGTCATCAGAAATATAACGTTGTCTTTTATTAAATCTTATCAAAGTTATTTGATTTATTGATTATTCAAACAAGGCAAAGTTTTTAAATAAAAAAAAAATTATTATAAATCAAATATACTCTCTAATTATTACAATGAATTAATTTTAATTAAATATATAATTTAAAATATAAATTAAAAATGACGCAGTTATGCAGGTTAGTATCATGAACATTTTCTGTTTAAATTATCAAATAGATCATTATCAAATAGATTATCGAAGATTTCAAAAATAGGATAAAAAACGTGGTAATATTTTTATATTTATATAATATTTTATATAATTATATTAGAGGTAGTATATGAAGTGGAAGAAATTCTGTAAATATTTACAATGCAAATAACATTTCATTTTGTTGAAATTATATGGCTTTACATGTTTTTCATGTTATTTGGAATTCTAATTTATGTGAAAATTGAGGAAAAAAATAAATACCAATCAGCGAGTTTCGAAAATCCTCAGGACTCAAAGCTGAGATTTCATCCTTTATGTCATAGTAATATAATATTTAGTATCTTTCTTGTTATTATTTATCCTATTTTTTTGAATATGAAGACTCTACAATATTACTTATAATTAGAAACAGCATTTCACATTTCATAAAAAACATCATATTAAAATATTCACAAACTAATAATTTGGAAATCATTTAATAGATCATTCTTAATACTTCTTTTATTTAAAAATATTAAATAAATAATAAAAAATAAATTTTTATATTATTTCTAATATAATAAAAATTTTAAATATTAATTTATCTTCTTTCTGCTATATTTATATTATTCTTTGATTGCAAACGACAACTTTAATTCTCAAATTTATATTATTCAAAATATCTAAAAGACTATCTAATATATCTGATAATATATTTAATATATTATATCTATATTTTATTTTTTTATATATATAAAAAAGATAAAATATAATCATATACAATTGTTATTTCTCTAAAATCATTTATGCGTAATTACTTTTTTTAATCATTCATATGTTAATATTATATAAAAAATTTTTTTTTATATTTTTATTTATTTGTTTTGAAATTACAATCGAAAGATATTTCTTATTTTTATTTTTTTATCGCTTCAAATTATTTTCTAATTTCTACATTTTTTCATGATTTTTTATTCTATTTGAAATATCTATTTTTTTTTCTATATTATAATCTAAATCTAAATGAAAAAAAGAAATAGCATATTT